AAATCGATGGCTAACCGAAGGGGTTTGAGCACCTGCAGGGCCTTGCTGAAGTATGAATCGCCGTCGTGTAAGGTGCGAGAGTTTGTACCCGGTGAATTAGCCACAGCCCTTCCACTCAGAAGATGCACATCTGCCGCCGGAAGCGTAGGTCATCTCCGCTGAGTAAGTGACAGATAGTTGGGTTTTACTGTGGCAGATGATATACTTTTGTTGCTGGTAGAGCTCACAGAATCCGGACGCATGCTTGTGCTGCAGTCAGGAAAAAGTCGCTGTGATCATATGTGCTTCCCCAAATCGCAGAAAATGTCACTGTTCTGACGTTCTGGCGTGGTAAATATCGATGTGATATATAAGACAAGCCCGTTCTTAAAGCCACTGATGTATGGTATGTAGATATACGTTATACACCTTCCTGATCAAATATGGCACTGGTGCCGGACGTCCAGTCATGCACACTTTTGTAGAACGCGAACAGTTTGCCTCTATGGGGAACAGTTTGCCTCGTCCAGGGAAACAGTGGGCGAGCAGTGTAAAGTGACAAACTGGGTGTACAAATGGGAATGTGAGAATAGTATTCTGCCTCAGACAGTCAGGTCTATGGCCAGAGTCATAAAAGTGAAAGTAGGATGATGAAGTAGAGGAATCCGCAATACGGACAAACGGTAGTGGGAATCTCATAGCCACGGTCTACACTGAAACTGTAGAGATTCACTAGTGTCACTGCTGGAATGGGGTCTGGTGTAAGTTCCCTGGAGAGAGTTAGTGCTAGCGCACTAGACGTCTTGGGACCAACAGCGTAATGCCAGCAACGATGTTGTAGAGCCTCAATTCGGGGAATAGGACGACGATTTCGTGTGACGCATGTGGAGGCCAAATTTCTAATATGCTGTTTCTCTAACGAGGCATCGTGCATTTTAGGGAAGTTTCTTATTTCTTGGGACCGGTTAGACTGAAGGAGATTAGGCAAAGGAACGGGCCTCAACTAATCAGGTATACACAGACTTTATACTCTAACCGGGTACTGGGGAACATGGCGGCGTTCGTCTTATGATGTAAGCAGGGGAGATGGGATTTGTAAAGTAAGTGGGAAGCACACGCATAACGCATGTGTTCATTGGCTAAATATGGGATGGTTGCATGTTGTGATGAGGACGATAGAATGTTTATATGTTGCGAGCAACGGTGTGAGTGTCCGGAAGTGAAAAGTCCTCCTGAAAATGGCACCTGCAGGCTAACGCGTCAGGACGGCACAGTCAAGTGCGTAAGGGTCGAAGGGTAGAATGAACCCAGCCAATCAGAGATCACTGTAAATGGTAATAATAATAATAATAATAATAATAATAATATGTAAATAATTAACCAATTAACAATACAAGAATCAAGTAAAAGGCTACGGACAGGCCGTGGTGCAAAATTTTTTCAAGCATCTGGCTTCTAGATTTCAGTTACTTGCGAGGTGTCATGCCCCCTCTATAAAGCGAGAATTCTAGCGGCGACAGTCTCGTAGAATCGTGTTTGCACGAAGTCATTTTCGAAGAGCTGACTAATAATAATATTGTTTGTTCCCAGCTTGTGGGTTGCATACCGTCTGGCATGATCATACGTTTACAGTCAGAATGAAGCGTGACTGGGGACTTGCGGGTAGTGGGGATGGCACGAAAAGGGAACAATGTCAAAAACGATGGAAAACATTCGATGAAAGAGTAATAATAGGCTTCGTTCCCAGCTTGTATGGAACAATGGGCATGAGGTCCGACAAGTTCAAAGACTTAGCCTGCTGACACGAAATAAAACTGAAAAACCATTGCTAGCCATGAGTGACCTTGGGTGATGGGGTAACTAGCTCCAGTTACAACGAGCAAAGGTTGAGATGGATATGGTATAATTCGACTTGGGGGAACAGGGCAAGTTTTGCCTCGAAAATACGGTGTAGTCTGAACCTAAGCAGACTCACCGGTTGTACTGTTGTAAGGAAGTCAGGTGCAAGAGATAGGTTGGATGGGGACACGTTGCTGTGGCAAAGGGCCAACCAAACATCGTAAACGGATTTCAACTTGTGGTAGGAGCAAGCTGAAATTGCAGCAGAAGACCAGGCTGTTCAGATTTGAGTGAAAATTCATCGGGTTCGAAGAAACTTGTCCCAGAGACGGTTTTTTGTCTTGCCATTGTTCGCCGTTAATGGAGCGAGTGGACGACAGGGCACGGTCGAGAGAGGGAATGGAATAGCTGTGGGTGTGCTATCAAACTGGGAATGGTAGTGGACTGCCCTCATCGGCCTAACATACTTCAGTTTTTGGACAGCCCCATAACGAATGTCACGTTTAATGTTATTGGGCTGGGGTGTGCATTTCTTTGGGCAGCGAGATTTATTTCAGGCTGGCCGAGGAAATAGGGTGGATCACAGCCTATATGGGGTCGCAGGCCGGTTGCTCAGTGAGCATCCGCCACCGAAGACAATGTAATACAGATCAACCACTGAAGGTTACTTTAAGTTTAAGTCGGTCCTTTATGTCCAGGTTCGGTCCTATGAGACTGCCGCCGCAGATTTGCTCGCTTTACATAGTAGGTATATTCCCGTTTTGCCAGCCGACCGCCCCACAGGAATATACCAAAAAACTTACTTATATGTTCCACTTCAAGGCGTCAACGGATCTCTGAACACCAAGCACCAAATGGGCCGTACATCTCCTTCTGGAACATATGCACCAGTCAAAGGCTCGATAAAGTTAAACATTTTATATCGTCTAATTCGAACTCTTGACTTTTCCAGTCAGTACGGAGGTGTGCATGTTAGTAGTGTGCTGCAAGTAGGTTCATTCAGCTGTCTTAAACGATGGAATTTGGATCTCCAGCTGAAGGGAATTTATCTGTGAATCACTGCCGGCCTAGCTATATCTGAGTCAATCCTCTCGCCCAAACCAAATCTAGTTACCACGTCAGTGAGCACCACCTGCCTAATTGTCGCGACTTCGATTAAGCTGTTTAGAAACCGAATTACGTAAGTGCACTGATGAAACGGCACCGCTATACACACTTTTTGATGGCACTTCATAGCTGTTTTCTTCGTACTCTAGACTCCCTCATCTCTTTCACTCTCAATTTTGCTTGCAACTACGAGAACACCGTTAACCCGGCCCCTTCGCCTCTATGACGAGTTCGCTCTTACCCGCTGAACCTTTCGTTCCCATCTAACTACCCGGGTTTTGGGATTTCAGTTTGCCTCCTTCCACAGGTTCAACGACCTTACTTTCGCTGCTCGTGCGGTCCTATTTAGTAACGCTATCTACCCCTAGCATGATCTGCCTCCGATAGCAACCCCAGTGTGTCTTACCAGCTTCAGTGTAAACCATAGTTTTGAGACGAAATTGCAATTTCTCTCAGCTTGAGAACTCTCCGTTTCTTCATTTCCACCTGTGCTTTTTGGGACCCCGGATACTTTCCAAGCCACTCGGGGTCACGTGAGACCGAAAGCCAATTTAAAGCTTTAGTTTAACTCATTTGGTCTCTTCACTGACCAAGACGTACTTCATGCCCCACTGTTCTTGCTTTTTTCACAATCTACGATTACTTATCAAGTGATAAGCACGCCCGCTCGGTTTTACGGTCTTCCTCGCTGTGATCATGTCCACGACGATCAAAACTGTAACAGCCCGATCATGCCATAATTAAAATGCCCCCTACAGTTTGGGACATAAGCCTAGTATTATCATTAATTTATGGTATTATTATTATGTATCGTGAGCACCTAGACGCAAGTTAGTCGTGCGTGTCAGCCAAGTCCGTTCAGTTGTCCTCTGTGGTCAGTACGGAGTATCTCGAGCTATTTTATTGGGCCTGGTGGACCCCAGGCGAATGTTAGTCGTTGCGTCAACCCAGTAATCACTGCCGTATTTTTCAACCACCGACAGATTTATTAATCAAGGTTGAGGCTCAATGACAGCTGTTTCATGCGCTGCTCTCCATGAACAAGACACAGATTGTCTGGTAGGTCCCCGGAGAAAGCTATGAAAACACGGCATGTTTCACCGGCTGTAACGGAGAGCTCTACAGCAGATTTCCGCAAAGCTACCCACGGGCATTAGTCATCATCGCCTACAAGTCGCGCACGAATTTTCCAAATATACCGAATGTGCCCACTGCGATTAATCCTCGGAATAGAAACTCTCGAGGTCCCGTAACACAGGATTCGGCATTCGTCCAGTCAAACAGAAGATACAAAGGAAATTTAACCACAGAAGTGACACCCACACATATTCTATGTCTGTGAACACGAAACAGGCCCCAGCAAGCTCCATGAATTATTTCAACTGCAGAACTCTGCAACTTTTGTCCATTGTAAGTGATTCACTCTTATTGGCAATTCACCATATACCACGTCATTTTTGTTTCCCCTGCCGGTTTCCCTCCTCTGATGGCTGTCCACGCTCCATCTAGAACTCAGTTCAAAGCACTATTGAACACTTTTCAATGCGAGTCCTGTGGCTGGTAAGCTCCCCGCTGAGAAATGAAAGAGCAATGATACCATTTTTCTCGCTCATCTCTTTCAAGTTAACGGCAGCCATTGAACAACAGGAATAAAACCGACCCGAGAAACTTGGTCGAAGCGTTGATTCTGTGTATCAATCCGCGAATCCGTGAATCGATGAGTAGGTGACTTTTTTCCACTCAGCGTCCATTGATGACCTTGAACATTCGCTCACCTAAATGGTCAAACAAACAGGAAATTCGCAGGAAAATGCATGAGACGAGGGCATCTTGGATATGAAGTTTCCACTCAGAAGATGCACATCTGCCGCCGAAAGCGTAGGTCATCTCCGCTGAGTAAATGACAGATAGTTGGGTTTCACTATGGCGGATGATATACTTTTTTTAGAATTCGCAGAAAAATGCATGAGACGAGGGCATTTTGGATATGAAGTGGTAATCTGGAACTCCCCGTAGTTTCCAACTACCGATCGGCGCTGGTTTCGCTGAAGTACTTTTGAACTAAGCACCGACTGCTGAGCTTGTCTGGTAGCACCCTATCCTCTGGACCCGTGTGTATGGGATCTGGTGGTCGGCGTTTGGTTAACACACAGACTAATGGAAGTAGACCGCACTGTTTATTTGCGCAACATTACTGAGGACATCACTGAGTCTATCCTCTACGAATTGTTTTTGCAGGCGGGACCCGTTGAAAGTGTGACAGTGAAAGGGAATATTGCATTCGTGACCTTTGAAGACGAAGAAAGTGTTCCGTATTCATGCTGCTTGTTTGAAGGCTTGCAGCTCTGTGGGTCTAATATCGTCGTGCGACCGAGAGCAGGGTCTAAGTTTGCCAACACGCGTCTGCATCCCATTCCCCCTTTTACCAACGGCGCTGGCAGGCCATGTGCTCCACTTCCTCAGTGGGACCCAACTTTTGGATCTAGCAATCGTAAAAGTCACAGTTCACAGAATTTGTCTATCGCTTCTACAGGCAGACATCCCACCGGGTTCGGTGATTTCGGTTTTCCATCTCCCGGGGGTATGATGCATCCATCAGCGTCGTTTCCTGTCCTTCCGCAATTTTGGAGCCCCGGACCCCTCCAGTGTCCAACTATCCCAAGCTGTTGGACTAATAATGTATCGCCATTTCATCGTCCAACAATCTCAAGACACGGTGACGGAAACTACGGCTCTATGAGAAGTCATTCTGGCCGCGAGCGAAGCCCTTTAGAGTCGTCTCGTTACCCGCATTCTAACAGTAAAATCTCGCTTTATGTACCCAATCCCGGGTATTCTGACTGCCGTGATAGCGGAAGGAGCACTGGGAAAAGTTACTATCGATGATTTTGTTACCAGTCTGTAAATAAATGTTTCTAATTTTTCCTGTTCTTTCTACTCACAACCTTTCTGATGTCACTCTGAGTGCCCTCTAATTGTTACGCTATGGCTCCTTTTAGCCGCGATTGACTTTTTTGCAATGCAAAATGGCACACAGAGTGTTTCAGTCGTCGTTGTCGTGATTTCTGGGAAAGGTGGTGTCGGCAAGTCAACAGTTGCCTCTCAGCTGGCTCTTGGGATGTGGTCCAAGGGGATGACCGTTGGTCTATTGGATACTGACTTTTGTGGGCCATCCATACCTCGCATTTTGGGGCTAGAAGATCGCAAGGTGAGTGGTATATATTCGCGTTCGTTTAGAAAACCTATCTCAACGATGCATTTAGCCAGTTATTTAAAATAAATCGTCTGGCTGCAACACCCTTTCGGTGTCTAGCTGCCCAAGTGGTTGGAGCGCGAATTTACTGACCGGAAGGTCCGTGGTTCGAACCCGACTTCCGCCACTCGACTTCCCCTCTCTAGGCTTGGGCAACCTGGCAGTATCCCAGCCCTCGTGATTCCTTCGGGTGGTATGGCAGTTAGACACCGAAAGGGTGTTACAGCTGAACGATTTATTTTTTTATTATTTATTTGCCTAGCTGCCACTCTGCCCGAAAGACCCTCGAGGGCTGGGATACCGTCAGTTCCCGCAATCTTAGACAAAGACAGTCAAGATCCCGAGGTCGGATCCGAGTGGACGGTCTCGTCTTGACCAACGAATCGTGTCTAGCTCAGGAAGTATCAGGGAGGGTACCTCTGACTTGAATCAGAAGCTAGGGGAGGGATACCTTAACAAGTCCCTACATGCTTCCTTGTAGGCCAATCTTGAGTTTGGGGCCCAAGGTGAGGAAGCACAACCAAACCCCATTAGGCCTGGGAACCCCTCAAATATTATTTGCCTTTGCAGCTCACCCTTCATTGCCCCCCAGACTGTGTTTTAGCTGCGAAGAACGTGCCCAAAGTGGTGCCACAGCGTCGATATCGGGTCTCTTGACTGGACATACGACCTTGGGGAAGTACTCTGAGGATTTTTCTCAAAAACCAATGGTTGAATGTCCATCTTGCTAGACACGTCGACCACGTTTGATAAACATGAAACAAAACACACCGGATGGCACACTCGAACGTTGGTCTTCAAACTGATTTATTTTCTACGCCATAAAGCATGTTTAATCTAGGGGAGAGCTGTGCCTGCCTAGTGCAAGCAGGTCATGACTTCATCATTAGCCTGGCGGTTTGAGAGAATGGTTGGACCGAGGTGCCACAGAAATTATTCAGCGCCAATCAGTTTATTAATCGTTCAGCTGTAACACCCTTCCGGTGTCTAGCTGCCATGCCACCCGAACCACCGACCTTGTGGTCAGTAACTTCGTGCTCTAACCACTTGAGCCATCTCGCCACCAATCCGTTTACTGGTCCGCCATATTCGAGTACCAGTGGAGTTAATGTCTTGTTTTTTGTAGGCGTAGAAGCACACTGGCACATTTTATTGAGGACATGCTGTAGACCAGTAGGGTACAGGGAGTTCAGCTGCGTCCTTGATAGATGTCAAATCTCGATCAAATGGTTCTCGTTGATAGCTAGGTGTATTGTACAACTAGTCAAAAAGGAGGAAAACTTGTTAAGCCCCAGTCGAGAAGCAGAACGTTGACGATTATTCGCCATACATACGTACATGTGCTCTCAGGCTGTGCAGTAATAGATCAAAAGACTGAGTAACATCAAACGGATACCATCTGATTCCGATGTGTTTTACAGTGTTTATTGGTCCGAACAGTCGATTACTATCAGCAAGTGATTGAAGCAGGGGCGAGATGGGTCGGTGGTAGCAGGTCATGACTTCATCATTAGCCTGGCGGTTTGAGAGAATGGTTGGACCGAGGTGCCACAGAAATTATTCAGCGCCAATCAGTTTATTAATCGTTCAGCTGTAACACCCTTCCGGTGTCTAGCTGCCATGCCACCCGAACCACCGACCTTGTGGTCAGTAACTTCGTGCTCTAACCACTTGAGCCATCTCGCCACCAATCCGTTTACTGGTCCGCCATATTCGAGTACCAGTGGAGTTAATGTCTTGTTTTTTGTAGGCGTAGAAGCACACTGGCACATTTTATTGAGGACATGCTGTAGACCAGTAGGGTACAGGGAGTTCAGCTGCGTCCTTGATAGATGTCAAATCTCGATCAAATGGTTCTCGTTGATAGCTAGGTGTATTGTACAACTAGTCAAAAAGGAGGAAAACTTGTTAAGCCCCAGTCGAGAAGCAGAACGTTGACGATTATTCGCCATACATACGTACATGTGCTCTCAGGCTGTGCAGTAATAGATCAAAAGACTGAGTAACATCAAACGGATACCATCTGATTCCGATGTGTTTCACAGTGTTTATTGGTCCGCACAGTCGATTACCATCAGCAAGTGATTGAAGCAGGGCGAGATGGGCCGGTGGTTAGCGCAAATTTACTGACCGGAAGGTTCGTGGTTCGCACTCGACCTCTGTCTCTTGACTTTGTCTGTCTAAGATTGGGCGACCTGGCAGTATCCGTTTTGCTTCTGGTAGCATGGCAGCTGAACGTGTTCTGTTGTGTTTTTGAATGAGGGAGGTGTCTGTTGATATGTTGGTGTGTTGTTTTTGTAAAGCGCGGCTTAGAGCGAAGATCTAAGCAGCACAACCTCTTCCTGTCTTGCTTAGTTTAGTGCGTTTTTCGTGACCGGTCGGAAGGACGGCAAATATTTTGGAAGATGCACTCAATTAACATATGCCGCGATAATTGTCATAAGCACGTGTATCACCTACGTTGTGAAAACTGGGGATTTCAAGTATTCCAATGAGATAGAAACACTTCGCTATCACAAACCGAACATATTAGGCCCTGGAAGGGAGGACGGTGAGGGAAGGGAGAGGAAGAGGGAACGGGTGATCAGGAAAAACTAAACAAAACGGGACAGTAACGTGAACATACTACCCTCAGGCTAGACTGAAGTGCGATTTAACTCGGCTTTTGAAGAGTTGAAGGTTATGTGGACTCTGAAAAACAGGAAAGGGTCAAGTGTTCCAGACAAAAATGAGCCAGACAGAAGAAGCCATACCTCGGTAACGAGTGTTTGATTGTTATTGGTAGGGTGTCGATGAGTGCACATGCACATTGGGCTGAATTGTCAAAGGATGGGCATGAGTAAGGAGACTTAACCTGCACATGGTGACAATTTAGGATGTGGCAGAGTAAATTCGATGGGGAGAAATGCTTGCCCGAAGCAAAAAGCCTACCATGACTTCTTATTTGGGAGGAACGTGATGTGTGACGACGAATGATTTGTTGGAAAATGTCAGACTCACTATAGTGAATGGATAGAACTGGGCAGTGGTTGTGTATCCCTTGGGTAGTGGAATGTCGAGAAAGTGGGCATGTGTGGAGACTTCGGGGGACAAAATTTGTTGCTTTCATTAAACCCCAATCATGGATGGTAAAGGGTCGGTACTAGGTTCAATGATGCTACATACACGATTTGCGCACAATCCGAATAGGGTGGATCTTGAAGAAGGGTTGTCCTAGGTGTCGTGCAATGTGGCGTCACCTGCCACACGTACATGTGCTCTCAGGCTGTGCAGTAATAGATCAAAAGACTGAGTAACATCAAACGGATACCATCTGATTCCGATGTGTTTCACAGTGTTTATTGGTCCGCACAGTCGATTACCATCAGCAAGTGATTGAAGCAGGGCGAGATGGGCCGGTGGTTAGCGCAAATTTACTGACCGGAAGGTTCGTGGTTCGCACTCGACCTCTGTCTCTTGACTTCCCCTGTCTAAGATCGGGCGACCTGGCAGTATCCGTTTTGCTTCTGGTAGCATGGCAGCTGAACGTGTTCTGTTGTGTTTTTGAATGAGGGAGGTGTCTGTTGATATGTTGATGTGTTGTTTTTGTAAAGCACAGCTTAGAGCGAAGATCTAAGCAGCACAACCTCTTCCTGTCTTGCTTAGTTTAGTGCGTTTTTCGTGACCGGTCGGAAGGACGGCAAATATTTTGGAAGATGCACTCAATTAACATATGCCGCGATAATTGTCATAAGCACGTGTATCACCTACGTTGTGAAAACTGGGGATTTCAAGTATTCCAATGAGATAGAAACACTTCGCTATCACAAACCGAACATATTAGGCCCTGGAAGGGAGGACGGTGAGGGAAGGGAGAGGAAGAGGGAACGAGTGATCAGGAAAAACTAAACAAAACGGGACAGTAACGTGAACATACTACCCTCAGGCTAGACTGAAGTGCGATTTAACTCGGCTTTTGAAGAGTTGAAGGTTATGTGGACTCTGAAAAACAGGAAAGGGTCAAGTGTTCCAGACAAAAATGAGCCAGACAGAAGAAGCCATACCTCGGTAACGAGTGTTTGATTGTTATTGGTAGGGTGTCGATGAGTGCACATGCACATTGGGCTGAATTGTCAAAGGATGGGCATGAGTAAGGAGACTTAACCTGCACATGGTGACAATTTAGGATGTGGCAGAGTAAATTCGATGGGGAGAAATGCTTGCCCGAAGCAAAAAGCCTACCATGACTTCTTATTTGGGAGGAACGTGATGTGTGACGACGAATGATTTGTTGGAAAATGTCAGACTCACTATAGTGAATGGATAGAACTGGGCAGTGGTTGTGTATCCCTTGGGTAGTGGAATGTCGAGAAAGTGGGCATGTGTGGAGACTTCGGGGGACAAAATTTGTTGCTTTCATTAAACCCCAATCATGGATGGTAAAGGGTCGGTACTAGGTTCAATGATGCTACATACACGATTTGCGCGCAATCCAAACAGGGTGGATCTTGAAGAAGGGTTGTCCTAGGTGTCGTGCAATGTGGCGTCACCTGCCAACACGTAGACAAATGTCAGAGTAAATAATAAATCGTCTACTTGTAGGGGTAATTGGGCAGAGAAAAGCATAAGTCATTGGGGATCTCCAACGTTGATTTGCTTAGCCTTGGAATATATACTGACCACTTTTGCTCGCATGTGGCGACTGTGAAAAACCCAACTGACCAAACCTAGGTTCAGCCCGTACATGAAAGGCTTGACAGGAAGGCTGTGTTTGTTATTTCAATCCAGATTAAATCTGTTCAGACCGTGTGGTACGTGTGCGGAAGCACCACCTGCGGAACGGTTTTTCTCTCTATGTCGCCAATGTGACATATCCCTACATCTCAAGGGATCGAACTACAGTGCGGGCTATTTTCTTGTATGGCTGTGAGGCTTGGCCTATTCGAGCGACGGAACTGAGACGGCTTCAGGTGTTCGACAATTGTTGTCTGAGAACCGTAGTTCGTGCGGGTTGGTGTCGGCGTATCCGTAACGGGAAAATTAGGAAGCGAGTTTCCGGTTGTGCAACGGGTACCCTCATTGAAGAATGTGTCCAGCCCCAGAACCTGCTTTGGTTGGGACGTGTTGCGTATGCCGAACCATCGTTTGCCGCAGAGAGCACCGGTTTTCATGTCCAATTCAGAGTGGCGGAAGCAAACGGTTATGAAAGAAATCACGAAATGTTTGGGTGTTGTCAGTGCTACTCGCCTTCCAGGATAGGGGCCGCGTGATTCTCACTGCACCTTGTTGGAAACGCTGTAAGATATGGCCGCCAACCGATGTCAGAGGCGTTCTTGTTGTCAGTCTCTATCCAGATTGCCTAAATGAGTGTTAGGAGATGTAGGCACCTCGGAGTGACTGTAGTAAGCTAACACACAGTCCCCGTCCACCTTTATCCTTTTCTTCACAACAAGGCTTTCAAGTAAATCAGCAGTGGAACACCAGTGTTGAACGCTGATATCATGCTGTTGATGATAGTGATGAGGATGACGGTTTGTCTCACTCAAGAGAACGTTTTCTTCAATATCGCGGAGTTGTCTGGTCAGAAGTAGCTCAAGATTTTTTGACAGGATTGGATGGAAGAAAGCGGGTTGGTAAGCATTAGAGTCAGAGCAAAAACCATTGTTAGAAATAGGATGGCGGAAGAAGGGAACATGTCAACAGACACGGACAGGATAAGCAATTTTGAACTGGTTTTGGTTAGTTCACGGTATAAATTGTGGAACAACATGAGAAATTTATAAGATGAACCATTCGGTTTGTAAATTTAGAGTTTGCGCACTTTTGCACCTAATTCTTTACTTCCACACGAGCCTGCACGGTTCCGTCTGCTCAACTTTCACCATACACTATCAGAGGAGTGTCCTTCGTCTTCAAATCAGTTGGCTCGTGTTATACCCATCCTAATTTGTTCCGTAATTAAGCCTCTGGACTAATCCGCATTATTTTAAACCTGTTTTGCTTATCCGTATTTGATAACAAGTAACCTTCTCCCGCCTTTGTGGCTTTCACTGTGACACCAAAGGCCACCGACCCGTTTCCGTCCGTCCCATTCTGTAAAAGAGATCTTTAGTCACTCCTGACCGGAAACTCTGGGATCTTGAAGGCAATGTCCTTTTGAATTTTCATCAATAAGCGTTGAGACACCATCCCGCGTAGAATACGTCCACATGTGTCGCGTCCTGGCCTACCCTGGTCTCACTTGATGCGACGAAGGCGCTCGAAGGAACCTTCTTGCCAAGTTTTTCACGCATGGGCCGCACTCAGACTTGATGAGTTTGTTCGGAAGATTTGTACACAGTGGCTACATTCGGGCGCAAGTGATGGGCTTATCTTCTCACACTACACAAATCAACACTGAAAATCTCCGTGTCTAGCCTGTGCCCCGCCTTTGCTGAGTCTTTCAGCAGCGTCCAGTAATCATCTGCGTTTCTTCGTAGCCTGTTTCTTCTTCTATGCTCACTGATTTTGTGTGAATTTCTATAACCATCTGTCCTATATAAACATTAGTATGGTCGTTGCATTTGATTTTGTAAACACCTGTTATTGTTTTAAAGAGGTTCAGTAAAGGGCCGGTGGATTTATTGCTGGGCAACGTTTCGCTTTTGACACGAAAGCTTCGTCAAGCCAACCAGGCTGATAGGTTTTTGTGGCAGTCAGGGAACCAACACGCTTGCCAGTCCCACGCCCTCTATTCTACTCACGCTGTGTGTGGACCGTGGTTTAAGGTCAGCCGATATGACACGAGGCGGTGTGCAATAATCAGCGAGATGGTCTGGCGCTAAAAGTACAAAATCCAAGCAGAGTAAGATCCACGTAATCCTCCTTAGCCCCAATACAATTGTCCTGGCACCCCTCGATGCACACAGGCGAACAAAATCTGCGAACGATCCTTAGGAAGAATATTCATAGACCGGCAAAGCAAGGCCACAAAATTCGGTTACAACTTGAAGACAACCCCTCTCTAACCAATCTATCCTAAATGCTAGTTATCTCCACTAACCAACAAAGAGGAACATCAGACCGACACCCAGTATTGATCAAGTCGGCTAGTCACAAGAATTCTCACGCACTGGTTCCCTGACTGCCACAAAAACCGATCAACCTGGTTACTTACTCACTTGGCTTGACGAAACTTTTGTGTCAACAGCGAAACGTTACCCAACAACAAACCCACCTACTGTTTACTAAACCCCTCTACTCAATCGGTCCCAAACATTTTCCAATTGGTTGAAAGTCTCCGGCTCTGTTTTCCGGGAAGCGGTCCTTCAATTGCACCAGTGCAGAGCGCGGTGTTCCTCTTCAGCAACGCTAGTTCAATGTTAACTATGTTTAAAATGAATTTGAGTGCCCCTGGTTCATATGGTTGATAGCAGCCTCATTTCATCCCCTTTGGGCTTCGCCAGAGCTCGAGATAGGTCGGTGGTTAAGGCTCGGAACTGCTAACCGGAAGTTCCGTGATTCAAACAAACCCCGGCATCTCGATTGCCCCTGCCCAAACTTGGGCGACCTGGAAATATCTAAGCCCTTGTGCTTCCTTCGGGCAGCGTGCCGGCCGGGCACCAAAGGGGTGCCACGGCTGAAAGATTGTTTATTTTTTATTTGGATTGCGGCGCATGTATCAATATCCTTTTCCACTGACAGTCAAACTGGCTGGATATCCACTATCTCGAAGTCCGTTCTTCTTGGCCGCTGTCTGATCAGCTTCTGGACATAGCACTTACTCGGCCGACGAGGTACTACTGGCAAGTACTGCCTTACGATGGGCCGGTTGTTAGTTTAATGTCGCCCCGATATCAGTTGTTTTCCAGGATGTTTAGTTTTTAGCTTTCCGCTAACCTTACATGTCATACAATTTGTGAAGTGTAGTATGCGCGAGATTTATTTCATCTCCTTACTAAGTTTTGTATGGCGAACCAGTTGATTAAGGTAATATTAAAATTCGCAAATTATCTCGTTTGGTCACGACAAAAGCGTCATTCGCAGGATGCTTAAGTATTTTCGATGGGTACATGTATCTGGCTCAAGCTTTCTGTTTGTAATCCTCGCTAAAGATATTTGCCGAAACCTGCGTATCCATTTGTCTTTGGGGGTATTTTTGATTAGCTTTTACTCCAGACAATTTAGTAGTAAATGATTGGAGAGAGAGTGGTCTGAGGATAGTGGTTGAGCCGACGCGCGTGGTTACGGATGCCATATAATCCCCGATTAAAGTGAGATGAATTGACCGTACTACTTAGGCCCCCGTATTAACTCGCATTATGCTTTAAACAACACTCAGTGCTGTTCTAGTGTGTTGGTCGACAGAGGTCTCGCTGGTTGGTTCTCCGTCTGCCTTAAATCTCGGCCAACCAAGTAACCCACTTAATTGGCCTCACTGAGCGAAACGCTGCCCAGCCTTAAACCCATCGATTGTATACCAGACTCCTCTGAAGCGATAAATTCTCAATAGGCTCCAAACTTTTTCTGACTGCTTGGATTTCATTGGTGTTTGACGTGTTTCTTACAAGGTTCACGCCTGCCCCGAAGGCTGGATGCCAATTTACGCGGACGGTCCTATGCAGCGTTTACGCGTCATGTCCATTGGCTTCCTGGTGGACCAACCGGATACCGCTGTGGTTTGGCGAGGACCACGCAAATCCAGTATGATTGAAACGATGCTTAACTCAGTTTGTTGGGGTCAGCTGGACTGTCTGGTGATCGATACCCCACCTGGCACATCTGATGAACACCTTACCGTTTTGAACCAGATCCAACAACTTCCTGAGGATAAAGTTGCCGGTGCTGTTATTGTTAGTACACCTCAGGTACGCTCTGTTTTGTAGGCTGTCGTTGGGCTGTTGTATCTTTTTGGCACAGCTGCAACACATCTGCACAAAATACTGGTGACTGGTTCACTTTCGTACAGAAGTCGCTTTACTAGGCCGATCTTTCCCAGCGTACCCAAAAGCTGCTCTAGGTCTGTGGCTTTCGTGACACAATGACAGCATTCGCTGTGCCTTAACATGCTTGGTATTGAAGAGAGTATTGATAGCTCAATTTGTGCAGTTGGTCGTTGGTTTATCCGCTAGCCAAACATTTAGTTTGTAACTGTACTGTCCAGTTTAGCATGAATTCCATTGGTATGCTGATTCGCCTTTGGTTATGACTAAATTTGTGATCAAATTTGGTCAATATTACAAGCAGCCCAACATTGACAGCTGCTGTATCAACCTTGTCACTGTTGGCACTTTTTATTCCCTTGCAACCAATTAGATTATGTGTTATTCATTGGCCTGTATGGAAAATGTGGTGACCTTCCAGTGCATTTAGAATCCAAACAACCCACTTTTAAACTCATTACTGTTTTTCCTTTGTACTCAGTGTATAATGAATGTAATTGTCTTAGGCGCTGCACATGAGGTCCATCGTGGAAATCTGTTCAGAGAAAAATATCAGATCAAAACCGTTCTCCAAAAATTTGTAACAATGAAATCCTCGGTTGATAAGTCGGACGAAATTCGCTATCATTTCCAGGCTGAGTTCGACTCATCCCAACGAATAAGTTCTTCAGTGGGTTATCTTGTCGCACCGTAATTGTTCACAGACACGAATGTCATCAATAGGAAATGACTACTATATAGACACTGGTTAGTGATACCTAAACAGCTTGTGTGAACACAAGCCTTCGTTTCAAGCGTATCATGCGGATCGTATGAGTGGTTTAGTGCGCGGTATCTGGGGCTGGTAGGGTTGAGATTATGTACAAACGGCGACGAAGTCACCGCACATCTAGTTAGCCACACCCCTACCCTTTAGTCGTACCGGTGAACGGCTTTCCACGACCCCACTAACCTTTTACCAAGTGGATTTCTGCTGATTTATGTTTCGGTCGATTGATCCAATGTAGAGGTTGTGTTTATGAAAGTTGGATGGATCAGTTAGCTACCCTCTAGCTTTGAACAGTTATTAACCACATTACTTAGGAAACTGTCTACCAGATGTATTTGTTGACGAGTCGCCAGGCTTTTTGAACCTGGACGTTCTTTCGGAATCATAGACTTTCGTTTAGTACTTCTGGAATGCTACCTCGAGTAGCAGAAGCCAGAACAGCGTTTGTCGGTGTGGGACACTCGTAGAGTAGACCTGACGTCAGTTTTATATCATTTGGACGGTTTTGAGATGACTCAGTCGTTAGAGCGCGTATTTACTGATCGTGGTGTGAGCCCGACTTCTGCATCTCAACTTTCTTTATCTAGGCTTGGGCAACTTTGCAGTATCCGAGCCCTCGCGCTTCTTCCTGGTGGCATTGTAGTTAGCCACCAAAACGGTGCTACAGCTGAACGATTTTTTAAAATTTTACGACGGTTGCACAACACATCATTCAGATTTCTGTTGTCTCACAGATATAAAAGTTGATCTCTTCGGATAGGTGGCATTTGATAACGGTCGCTGATCTTGGGTATCTCTCGTCGTTGATGAGGATGGGCACGCATTTTTCGCGGTAATAGGGTAGGCTTGGTAGAGCTAGTCGCCAAACACCAACTCCATTGGCTTTCAAACGTACTACAGTCTCAAGTTTACGGACTTTCCAGTTGCACTTTGTTTTCTTTGACGGTATCCAATTGGTTAGAGGCGGATGGCAAAGTAACGAAGTGTGAAGGAGGTGCTGTTAGATTATCGGCAGCGAAAGTCCTTTTCTGTTCCCATAATAATGCAATGTTTCCTCTTATTAATTCCCTTGCTAGTCTCCCATTATTTTGCATTCCATGCAAACTCATGCAGGTGTAGTGGCTTTTCAGAGTCAGGTATCGAATGTGTCTATCATTCGTGACACCTGCATATTCTGCATTCAAATACATCTAATTAGGCCAACGTTTGCATCCCACTATCTTATGTCAAAGTAGTGGAAAAACAGGGGGAAACAGCACTGTGAAAACGAAAACGTTTGCACTACTGAGCAAACAATAAGTAACACAACCAGCGGAGCTTCAACCTAATGGATCACGCACCGTCACCACCTGCTGTGAGAAGATCTGTGACATTTTCGCGCAATCACTCCGGTGCATAGAAGCTTCCACGCAGCCAAATCATCCGTTATCACTAGTCCATCGTCTCTTACAGCCATCTTCATTGTTTCGTGTGTAGGTACTCAACCATCTACACAGATAGAGCGGATTGATAATTGCAACAAAACAGACGAACTAGCCTGGTCAGCTGGACCCAGTGGGTACGCCATCATCTTTGATATCAAACAGGAGTATCTTCGTAATCTGCCGGCCCCGTCAGTTGTCTACCCAATGATTATTGTACTGATCGGATGACAGCATTTAACACTGGCCAGCTCTTCAAGTACCAGACAGACCAGATCCGTGGGAACAGAAGCAGACTTCAATTAGGAAATGAGGTTACTGGATAGCCTCAAGAAGTGTGGAACTGACAACGGTCTGTCCAGAGTTTAAGTCGGTATTATAAGTCGTAGGGAAGCAAGTTTTCATTTTTCCGTGATGTATCGGACAAAGGGCGGACGCGAAAGCACGCACTATGGCGTCTGTGACCTTAAGTGGTTTACTTTACCTACCCGAGGAGACATACTAAGGCTGAATTATCGTACAGAGCTGTTTTGTTCTTGTGTTCTGGATAGACCCCGTCCTGAATTTCTGTATCATTCATTTAATCCAATCGTTTATTCAGTCAACTAGTCAACCCAAGTGCTGTCGCGGAAATCCATTGAGCTCCAAATCTAAGGGCAGCTATTCTGTGCGATCTGATGAACGTCGACTTGAACCGCTTGGTGTATAAAGACTGGTATGGCTCCGCTCAAAATCGTCGTAAAACTAGTACTAACAGTGTATTTATTTGATTTGTTATTTGATTTATTTGATTCAAAAAGACTGATGTTTTTCGTATGTGGGTGAATAAAGTGGAGCCATTTCAATCGCCGAGATGTTAATGGCATATAGGGAAGATCCAAACAGCACGTTTGGAGAGGGGACAGTCTTGCTTGGCACCACTGCGTGTGCTGAGCTCACTCGAGAGTGCCTCGTAGCCCTACACGCATCCGCCGGAGGATGAATTGCGTGCATTTACAAAAGACAAGAATTTCGGAAGGCACCTTTCATTGTCGGACGCTTCTGTAGTTTTCGACGATCAGTGGAATCGAAAATAGCTCTTAGTTCGAAGAAAACGATCAGTGTTTGTGGTATCGACAAATGGCATGACACAAGCGCTTGTTGTGAAGTCAGAGTGAAGCTTAGGTTTTTGCGAATTCGATTCGATGATACAAGCGAGCATTTTGGAAGTTACGGTTACTACAGCCGTGTCCTGGTGTTCTTGTACCTATTCTAAATGTTGGAATCTCCATCGATGTTGCATCTCCATTCCAGTAATTTTTGAGTACAGTTGTCAGGTTAGCTTCGAGGGATTCACCAGAGTTGAAGATTTCGGGAGTGCCAATCACGTGAACCAGTTGTTTTGTTTCACTAAAGCTGTGAAATCTCGCACTGGAGTTTTGTTATCGATGAATGATTGGTGTTAATGTTCCATTCAAGACGATGTGTTTCTTTCAAGGCTGCTGGACTGTCTCTTAAACCGTACAGCCCATAGTTCGAGTCACGCGAATGAACACGGGTTCCATTCTTTTTGATAGTCGTTCCGTTAGCACTCGGATTATTCGGAAAAGGGTTGGGCCAGTTCTCGTTGCGAAAGCTTTCTCCACCTCCCGGGCTTTCACTGTTCACCAGCGCCCTCTGTCAATCCGTGTGTTCTTCACTATGCATTGTTTGAGGGGTCCGTGCGTCACCATAATCGTTTACTGCCGCCGGTTGTGGCAATGTCCAACGTTCTGTTTAGCTTTCTCCAAATCCCCATTACTATCACCTTGTCAGTCTTTTTCTAAGACTTGAAATAGTTGAGACACATATATGATTTTGAGGTGAGCCTACTCGGTTAGAGTCAAGTTGTCTACCTCGAGAGGGTCGGACATCTTGAATTGAAACTCCACCAGTAGCTGATTGCCACTTGGTTCGTTTGAGCCTATGGCCGATTCGCAGTTGATGGCGTCCACGAAACAAGCGACGAAGGTTCACGCTGGTTGGTAACAAATGATGTTTACCGTATGACCGAATAAGCCACTCTTCATTATCTGCGCAGTGGGAATCAACACCGAATCGACTTCCCATTTGTGGTTCTCCCCGACTTGGTCTACCGAACCGGGCATTCCTATCACCTACTAGAACCACAATATGTTCTTTTTGACGGTAGTGGCTATGATAAATCTCGGTAGGAATCATCTCTCAGTTTCACGGCTGATGTCTTTCAGCGTACGCTGCTGCAACAAATAAACATTGTTTTTTGCGTTGAGATGCGTTTCTCTTAATTATGCCAATTTACCAAATGGCGAACGGGCAACCGTTTACTGAAATCTAGTCCAGTGAAGTGCATTCAACCGTTTAGTCACTTAACCGTAGGGCTCGAAGTAGCTCAGTGGTTAAGTTGCGAAGTTCCTTGGTTCGAACGCAGCACCGGCATCTCGAATGCTTCTATTTAGGCGTGGAAAATCTGGCACTATCTCAGCTCTCGTGCTTTCTTCTTGTGATGTGACAGCTAGGCATCGAAAGGGTATTAAAGCTGGACAATCTGACATTCAGTCACGAGACCTCTACTCCGCAGATATCACAAACCGGTACGTCAGAACCACCTAAGATCCGAATAGTGAATTCCAAGCAATCTCGGTTTGTATTAAACGGTCTGCAGCGTATGGCCAAGCTGGTGTTTTTTACACGCTCCAGAATCAAAACCTACATAGATTTGAAAACGATCACAAAGCTTGAGCAAAAGAAACCTGTCGATCAAGTTGGCGCGAACGTTGACAGCCGCAACGAGGATGAATTCTTCCTAATTTATCAAGGATGTTCTTCATTTGGTGGATGTTTAGAGAGGGGCAGCAGTAAATGGGTGACAGCTAAATGAATCGGAGAGCTCTAGTTGAAGGGGATGTGGAATGGCGTCGGTGAGCGAACAACCGCAAGGGCGAGTGGTATCTCCTTGCTGCCAAGGCCGAAGGACGGGACTCTTCTGAGGTAATCCGCTTTGAGCCTTTGGCTCAAAAGTCCGGCCCGCGTGGCAACATTTAGTGGGATTTGCTTGGGAGATACTTGCCCTAACAAGTGACTCAATGGTCTGATCCAATCTACTACAGGAGACTGGATGAGTCTGAGGGTGCAGCAGAGCTTAAGTGACTGACTGTTAATGTTGCTACACACTAGATGCGTTTGCACCGGGCTTCTGGTAAGTTTCGGTTTTATTTCGACTGTATTAGGGAATTCGCCGGCGGTCACGGCCAATCGTTGGGTGATTGAAGTGGCCGGTTTTCAAGGTCATTAGTGTTGGGCGTAAACATCTTATCAAGATATATTTTCCAACTGTTATTCTTTGTTTCAGTGCTTCAGAGTTATTATTGCTTGTGTAAATGTGGTCTCTGGCAACGTCTTTCACATGATCAGTGATAAAATTCGCTGTTCGATAAATACACTCACTTACATACCGATTTGCTTCTCACCGGAGGCTCAAATAAATCTCTTGCTTGTTATATTCTTGAAAGAACTGTGCAAGCTAAATATGTAATTGGGTGTATTTATCGAAATTAATCCAGTTTGGGTTCAAGTAATACATAAGGTTAACGGAAACTTGGGGACTATGCCTACCTATTAAGCCCCAAGAAGGGCGAAACCAATCGTTGGATATCGAAAAGTTTTCAGCAAACTTATGAGTAGTTTCCTTTGGGAACATTTTAGGGGCGAGGTGGCTCAAGCGGTTAGAGTGCAAATTTACTGATCGGAAGGTCCGTGTTTCGAACCCGACCTCTGACTCTCGACTTCCCCTATCTAGGCTTGGGCAACCTGGTAGTATCCCAGCCCTCTTGCTTCCTTCGGGTAGCATGGCAGCTAGGCACCGGAAGGGTGTTACGTCTGAACGATACGAATATTTGTTCTTCTTTGTAGTTGCATTTTTTCCATCGTCAACCCATTTCTTCAAGTAACTATCGAATTACTGAATTATTCATTTTCCTGACACGTCTTCCAGCGAGTTTCCCTTTGCGATGTACGGCGCGAGATCGGATTTTGTTCCAAGACTGGTTTGAAGATTCTCGGCCTTGTGGAGAACATGAGCGGTTACCGATGTTCAAACTGCTCGCACTGCTGTAATTTGTTTTCCTCAGGTGGCGCTGAGTTTCTGGCCAAAGAAAAGCAACTCCCTTTTCTAGGTTAGTGGCGTTTTTCTATAGTCACCCGTAAGATTACAACCAGCTTGAATGTTTCAACTATTGCTTCTCCAAGCAATTCCCGGTAATATTTGGTACCGCAGCTGCGTCACACAATTTACAATCACCCCGTCATCTGATTGCTGCTTTGTACGTGTCACTTAAGCTTAATGCATTTAAACGACCACCCAATCAGTTTGAATTTTTCCTTGAGGGGTGACGAGATCGACCGTCATCAAATGTTGACACTGATGCTTCACTGCCGTCCACACAGGTTTTCCAAAAGGATTCGCAGTCTCTGATGGTAATCTGGCCTAATTGAACTTGAGGCCGGTTCCTTTTTTGGCACCACGTTGTTAACAGATTTCCGCTGTTCGGGAAATTGGTACTGCAAAGGAACAGTTTGTTATCTACACACCTGAAGTGGGCGCTGTCTGGTATCTGCGCGTCTCGTGTCCAATCCAAGACGACCATCTAATCGGGCCTCAGCAGTGCTAAGCTTACTCACTTGAATATTCATGTCACGAACATCCACATCGTATTCCGGGCTTTTAGTCCGATGTAAAATAGAACTTAGAGCGTCATATAAACCATCCACCAGATTCAGAGCTACACTCCGTCGGGGCGTAAACGGACGCAATAAACAGGGTGTGTTGGACCTCACTTTCTACTGTTTTTTAGACTGTCAAACAAGCCGTGCAGAGGCGACTGTCGACTGGTATCCAATGAAGTAGAGATGCCTCTGCTTGCTCCCTCAACACCGTACCCACCCCCGCTTATCCAGCCAGAGCGGCCTCCACATTACAAGATTTGTGTTTGAAAACAGACTTCGGAGTGGTTAGTATTACTAATGAAGGCGGACGCGCAGAAGCTCCAGCTGAGCATAATGTGTGGCGAACAAACCGATCAGTCCTAGTCCTGTAGAGAGTACTGACATTGGCGTGGGGTAGGGTAGAAAAGAAAATACCCGGAAGTCTTAGAAGAGAGGCCTCAACACTAGCATGTTTTCGCTGACCTGTCCTGCTGTATGCAGTAATTAAAGCGGCCAGGCTGGTGATATCACGCGACGGCCTATGTGGCATGATAATTGTTTCTAGTTGTGCGCTGGCTGTCAGGGCACTCGCACCTAGGTAGCAGGAAATTAAGGTCCTCAACCAAAGCTTTTGGCTCAATGGTTCTACCTCAAAGCAGCGGGTGTGTGCCGGTGTGCTACCACAGTGATATATTTTCAAGAAACAAATCGGCGGACCTGTCCCAACCTTGAGAACCAGGAGACTGCGTTCGATAGTCCTATCCACTGACCAGGCTGGTAGGTGCTACCACAGTGATATATTTTCAAGAAAAAATCGGCGGGCCTGTCCCAACCTTGAGAATCAGAAGACTGTGTTCGATAGACCTATCTACTGACCAAGCTGGCACGAGAAACTGTGAGTGTCAAAGTGGGTCACAGAGTTATACAAACCGCCACGCCGCGATACGACCCAGTCCGTATACAGCGGACCAGATCTTTGCAGATAAACCAGGAATGAGCACACTAGTTCTGTGCCTTATTTGGGACAACAATACGTACTTTAATGAGTTTACAAATATCAGGTATAGTCTCATCGACCTGTATCACCCGTTCCCAGCCATACTGAGGTCAACTCGGTGGACTCGAATAGTAGGAACGAATCAATTGCCCAACAACCATTCAGCAGTTTTTGATATATCTCTATTTAGTCAGGATTGTATGTACAATCAGTATACTGTAGTTTGCAATCGCCAAGCGGCGTGGACGAATGATTAGTTTGTGAATGCGCAATTCTGCATATATTTAGTGAATAATAGGTCGATTTTCAGTTTGATTTGTTCAATGAAGGGTAGAGTGACGTCGACGGCCTCGCTGGTTTTAAGGAATCAGTGATGGCTTATATTTTTACTCCACTTATTTCCTGCTCATGGAGAATTCAAGCCTCCTTAACAGCATGAAACTCCGAACGTAACACATCACTCATAAGGTTTCTGAAAACTCTTCGGTGGCCCACGACCGGTGTCGCCCTTTTCAGGGCTCATCGGGTAGGCGCACTGCACAAGTCCATCTTGTGTTCTAATTGAAAAATATCGAGTTTTATGCAAGTAGAACATAAGGTTGACGGAAATTCGGAGATTGCGCCTGCCTGATGAGCCCTAAAATGGGCAAAAATGGATTGTTGAGGAGTTCTTAGCAATCTTTAGGGTATTGCGATATCTCGAATATCGTACAAGCTGAAACATGAGGTGGCCTAGTTTAGCCCATTCAGGTGAAGTGGGTCATCATAAGCGAGAGATTCAGCTGGATTCAGTTGAGTTGTCAATGGCGAATTCGTGTGCAGATTGGAATATCTGTCGAGGGATGAATGTCCGTTTTTGAGCGGTGCATGTTTATATGTGTGTATATTATGTGCATTATATATCACTACTAATTATATATATGGATGGTATCCTATTAGATTTGTTGACCGAACTTGTGGACACCTGTGCATAGTTGGGGAAACGCAGACGGTTTTCGCGGAGCTGACTTGCTGCGTGCATGTCGTTGGCAACCATATGGACTCGAGAGGATCAAATCAAGGGTTTCCAGGGGCCTGTTACAAGTCATTGGTCGGTCTAAAAATAACGGCGTAACAGCCAGTACCGGTATCATTTTCCTACCTACCAATCATCCGTCCACTTATTTAATTTCAGTGCAGTGCTAAATCTTACCAATGTAGCAACCTACGGATGCTCTCCGGGACCGCCCGTTGGAGCGCTATCAAGGCAGTAATGGATAATCTGACGGCATTTCATAAACCATTTTCTCACTTATTTTTGTCATTCTTAAGACGACAATGTCAGACGGGTGCCTATTGTACAATTTGGAACTATGGAAGTCGCGGCCGCTCAAACTTACTGGTTAGGTTACTCTGAAGGTATTTCTAGCTGTGCATTGCTCGTGTTCACCAGTAACAGAGCGTCTATGCACTACTTCTAGGTTTCTCAGCGTAGGCTGGCATGGCCTAATCAAACGGTATTCTACTAAAAAAAATCGTATATTGGTTTCGGCTAGCAAAAAAACTACCCCAGCTGTCTCCCGTTTCTTCCCCTCCATGCAGGTCGATTACCCCTTGATTCGGCACTTACAGCACTTTGTGATTCGGCTGACCGTTTTGACCTCAAATCTCACACTACTGAGGACACCATGAAGATACTCCAAGAACTGTTCCGGCATTGTCCCACCCTGGCTTCTGCGTGTCCCGAATAAAGCTGGAAAACCTTTATTCCTCCAGATGGCTTTACAGCAACCTGAATTGATTTCCCTATGTATTTTTACTAAACAATACATTTCAATCAGTCTTCTGTACGTACGCTTCAAGAGAAAGCTTTTCCGGTCCTGTATGATCAGCGTATAGCCCAGGACGTTAGGACCGGCGGAACAAGTTGCTAGGGTAAACTGAGCTGATGGTCACCCATCAGTAACCGATCGAATCAAGTAGCATAACCTCGGAGTCGTAGTTCATGATCCTTTTTTTATTGGGTGCTGTTCTCGAACCTCTGTTTTGACTCCATCTCGGGGTATTTCAGCTGGTCGTCGCTGTCCGACTCCATCAGTTCTATCTCGGACAGAGTATTGTGGCGCCAAAGGTTCCGAATCCAAACTTGCTTGGCCTACTCAAGTCACTCTCCGTCTTCCGCCCTCTTTCGATCAGCGGAACAGTAAGTTGTCTATGACCACATGGTAACTGTCTAGAATCTTTTTCCTGGTTATAAGCCTTGGTTCGTCACTCTGCCCAGAGCCTTCATACGAGGCTTTGCTCGTACATTTGAGGTACGTAGTTTTAGCTGTTTCAGCACTTTCCGCACCCCGCGTATATATATTTTTAAGTAAGCGATTACATTTCAAGTCAGGTGTCGTATCGACTGCAGTTTCTCATAATCTTCACATGTTACCACGCGAAACGTAAAATATGCTCAAGGGACCGAATGTCAAGGCCAGAAAACGAGCTAGCGCGTTATCAAGACTGCTTAATATCGATCATATATCGACTCCGATGTTGTCTTGCTATGTTCGCTCAGTGGTTGGAGGGCTCGGTGTTCGTTCGATCGTAACGAATACGGGGACGCACGGAGTGCGTATGTTTCAAGAAACTAGGCTTCAACGGTATGTTGTTAGTGATGTGGTCCGGTTTGACGGGTTTATTATATTCAGAAGCGGCCGTGCTGCTGCTACCCCTAACCAGGTTGGGGTTACTATAGTTCATGCGAGACAATTTTACTATCGTTGTGAAAGTCCAGGCATTGACGTTTCCACCGGCTCCTTACGTTCGGATGTTAAGTCCCTTGTCGACCGGCCGGGTATTACCGCAAGTGATTGCAAACATGTCTAACTTACCTAAACCTGCGCAAATATATCGATTTTGGTAGTGTCTTCGTTTGTGACTAAGAAATATTTCCCATCTGAAATCTAACACTCTGCATATTGGGATACTTATTGTTCACCGTGTCTCCCCGTCCGGTCTGAGAGAGACAATTTATCAGGTCTGAACGACATGAAGGCCTTAACCAACCCACCTGTATTTTGAAAGCAATTGCCTACCGTTTAGGCTTCTTTTTTGACACTGGGATTATAGGATCTGGTCACCGACGGCAAAGAAAAGCTTGCGTCAGGTGTCTGTTATCGTGAGTTGTGGTGCGTGGTACAGCAACTGTTTAGTGTCTGGCCTAAGTTAAGCGGTGCTGGAGCCTCCCGTCAGAACTAGACTATTATGCAAATGAACGTGTTTGTCGAAGCTCTAGTCTCGCCTTGCCGGTGCACAGTCCACTGGACTTTCTCGCTGAATGAATAAGAAGGAATCGACCACTCGCTTTTTGTTTTGATTTGCACTGAATCTCCAGAGTTAGGAATTTGAATACACCAAACAGTTTGCAGATAATTTAAAAGCGTTCAGAGTTGGATGAAAAATCAGTTTAGGATGATCGGTGGAATAAAGCTGCACGGTATGAAGATTTACCATCAACTAATGTTTGGCAGCATCGAGCGTGACCGGAACCCTGAGTTTGGCGCGGAAATAAGTTTTTTGTCTGGGGGATATCTGATTCGGAGGCAGCAGATGGGTACATCAGCAACTCCACATCAGGAGCTCATATACAAATATGTGCTCTTTGCCAATAGGTAGCTGAACTGATGCCCAGTCTTTTGACTTCAGTTGTTGTCAGTTCATGATAAGCTATTCGATGGAAGTGGAAGCCGGAATGGATTATGCTTTTCGGTGCATTCTGCAACACAGAAACGCAAGTCACAGCTCTTTGACAGTCCATTTGCGAAAAGCTGTGAATTGATGTGACTGATTCACTTTTTAGGCATCACATTTTTGCCGTGGTTGGAAACTGGTGAAAATTCAACAAGTGGATGCATGAATGGTTAGTATTTTCATTGCATTTGGCACGAGACTTTTCACGCAAAGAATTGGGGAGAGGGAGTAGCTGAGTAGTCGTTAGCCATTTCTGGGGAAAAGGCGGAAAGGCCATGGAGAACAGCAACAGATGAGAATGAAATGTGCTGGTAAGTTAGCTTAATGTACTGCTCAAAAATTTGGAATGTCACACTTTTTCCAACCAGGAAAGGGAGAGCCTTGGTTGGATGGTGTGGCTAGCAAGAATATTCTGTAACCTGCCATCTTGGAGCACCATGAGCGACTCGGACGGTTACGTGTTCAAACTCCTGGCTGCGAGTTTGCTGGTTCTAGACTCTCCGGATGCAAGACCGACTTTTCCATGAACCAAAACGAAAAGGATTCGTGTGCTCTAAAAACTACGATTATGGATCACTGCAGTGTAGTTTATAGGACTTGTTCGCCACACTCACACGGCTTACTCTCCTGCAGAATCCTACCCACTATGTACTTGAAGCATTGCACCGCTGAACTATCTGGTTTAAGCTTAGGTGTGAAGTTTCCTTCTTCTCTTCACGAATAACGATATTAGTAGGGAATTGATCTGTAGTGGATTGAGGTTGGTTGCTTCTTCTGGAATCGCACGCCTTCTCCGTTAGTTCGGACATAGCAGTCAGCCTCTTTGTGTACTTTTCAGTGGTGAACGGTTGAAATATCTGACGACAGTCTCTATGTTATGATAAGACTCAGCGTACAGACAGCTGACGAGCACCCGCTCGTCCGTTGAAAAACACCGGCTAGCCTGGACGATCGAACCACTGGCAGCTATTTTCCTGTCATCCATCGATGCGTACGGGACGTGATTGGGCAGCAACGACTTGTGGATCTTTTACTGATCCATCTATCATCCGCACCCCCGCCGACACTTTATGATCGAAACAACTGTAACAGACGCTCGTTGCCTACATGTGCTTGCATTTTCAAAGATGACTCGTTTCTACCGGTCCCTCTGGGAAAGTTGAATTCACTGTCGCTTCCTGACTGCACAGAAAGCCACCAATAACTACCGGTTGATGAGCTCGGAATACGTGTGCAAGCTCACCGCTAAATCAGCATTGCGCTTGTCGGAACTCGATGGGTCTGCCTATCCCAAATTGCTCAAAGGACCGGATGGACCGTGCGCCTGACTCAACTGTAACGAGGTGTTGTTGTGTCCGAGGGACAGGAGGACCCGCGCCTGACTCAACTGTAACGAGGTGTTGTGTCCGAGGGACAGGAGGACCGAGCTCATGATCTGCATTTGCCTGTAACACACTGACGAGCCCGTGCAGAAACTAAAGTCTGTCCGTTCCACACAATGATGCGTGTGCCATGTAATGTGAGTACATTCGTACGGCAAACTGAGCGAAGATGCGGGGAAGCCATTTTGGGCCGATCCGGAATAGATAAGAAGCTTCTGTGTGTCAACGGCTGGGTGTTCACAAAAAACGCAGTCGAGAAATCAAATCAATCTTGCTCACATGGTGGTTGGGTAGTAATGAAAAAGACTATTTGTGTATGAGATCTGACTGCACCTTACTAAGTGCCCTCTGAGTCGGAGAAATCAAGCGAAAAAGCTTGATAGGTATACCTCACCGGACTTTGTATCCGTTCTGTCTTGTCCAATGTCATCCAAGGTCCATTAGGTGTGGCGGGGTACAGTACATCATCCGATTTAGGGGAAGTTTTCATCTTCCAAGGTTCACGTACCAAGTTGTGTGTACGGATCGTTAATATGTGGTGACCACGAAATGCAAATGCCATCGGCCTAAGATAACCATCCATCATCCCATACCCCTTTTGATAAAACAATATTGACCGCAAGACTTGAATCACTTCTTATGCAACATTACACTGAAAGAGCCTAATGTCGGTGGGGAAAACTCATCGACCAGAATGTAATAGACCAATCAGAGCTCGGAAGCATAACTGAATTTCTAGAGTTCCTTAGCTTCAAAGCCGTCGCGGACGTATTCAATGGAGTCTCGTTTTGTTTGACGTGAATGGTGTAGGTCAAATTTTTCAGATAGCCCACAAAAGAATTCATTCAGTTTGCGGTTCATCAGGTAGGCGTATTCCCCAGAATTTGGGACTATCAGTCTATGACTGGAGCGGGAAATTGCACGAAAGCTTGCTTTTAAGCTCGTGCGTATTTGGAAGTTCCTGGAACTGGTGACGCGATGTAGTTCATGAACTGCAGCGTCAGCTTTTTCTCAACATTCACCGTGTGAATTGCGAGTTTTTCGCATCTACATTGCAATGCACCCCCTAAAAATGGTACACTTTCTCTGGTTCCTGAGGTATTTTTTACTTGTAACTGACTCTAGATTATTGTCGGGGTCGAGTAAGATGATATAGCCCACGATACTCCCAACCAATCACTAAAAACTCCTCAACAGACAGCGAATATACACTCATTTGTGAACTAATTTGGTTTTTCGAGAGACCCACCTGGAACCCAGCTGAATCTCTCGGTTTTGATATTTTCAGGCAACTGAATGTGCTGCACCAGGCCGTCTCGTGTTTCCGTCGAGATATCGCGATACATATATATTTTGTAATGTACTACTCATAAGGTTGCTGAAAACTCCTCGACAGCCCACGACCGGTTTCGCCCTTCTTGGGACTCATCAGGTAGGCGCATTCCCGAGTTTCCGCCAACCTTATGTTCTACTTGAAATCAAATGGCACAAAATTAGCGAATATACACTCAAATATTTTTTTATATTCCTTTAATACAATGGCAAACCATATTGTTGTTGCACAATATGTTTGAAAGTGTCAGAAGGAATGGGAAAAACGATGCTTTCGACAAAGTACCTTTTACGTCTTTTGTCAAGGAAAGTGTGTAGCTGATTTCAAGACGGATGCTCATAGTCAAGTTCAAAGCATCCGTGAGGGAACGGAAGTTCGTATTATTGACATTGGGATCCCGAGACCAAAGCCATTTACCTCTCAAAGTGCAACAAAAGCGAGATGTTATCTTAACCATTTGAAGCAAACGTTGAGGACTGACCGTTGGTGAGGTTTCTTGCCCTACCTAACTTTAAGTCATTTTGACCCATATATGCAGGCTCCACTAAGGTCTACTACTTTTCTCACGAGAACCGAAAAATTCACACCTACCGACCAGGTTATCGTTCAAAAAAGTTCGAGGTAGTCCGCCTTTGAACCGATTTGTACATCACCGTACTTCTTTGGGTAGACCGCTCTCACCAACCATATTCGTTCTGCTATTTTACTAACCGCAGACGGTTTGTCATTCGTCCAGCTAAAATATTTCGAATAAGAAAACCTGGAAGCAAAGTATCCTTCGATTTATCATTTGTCGACACTGGACTAATTTCGCTGCGGTTTCCTTTCGAACAAACCGATAACGAAACAGGAAACGCATTCTAATATACGGAGTAATCGTTTCGTTCCAAAAAGGAAATGTCACAAAATTTTCGACTTAGTTTGGTGATTGTTACACTACTAACCTTCATTTTAAGCTGTCAGCGACAGCGGTGGAAAGCTTCAGAGGCTGCCAAACGGTAGGTATGCTGCTGAGCTGATCACCGTGATAGTGGTTCATCACTTGCAACCTATTCGCTATACAATGAAATCTGTCAAACATGCCGCCATTCGGATAACGCAAATGGTACTACACGAAGGAGGTCAACCCATTTACTCGACCAAAATAGAACAATAAGTAATACCGCCAGGTTAAATTTTCAGATAAGTTAATTTTGGATTTCATAAGGCCCAACACTCTTGAGAATCCCGCCGTGAATAACAGCACCGAGATGGTGAAGTTAAGCGTAAAAGATGACAAACTAAGATGCATTGTCAGTAACATACTGGATACTTGAAAATACAGAGGTCTCGTGGAGAAATGCAGTAAAATACAAATTTTGCCCAGCTGGGAACCGTATACTCATGAGAAAAGCACATCAACAAAACAACTTTAGCAGTGAATACATGACTTTGAATTTCAGACAAGTGCTAGAAGTTGAAATAGTTGGTTATTAAACGAAACCAGGAAACAAATAACAAAACAAGGATTGTTGTGGATTCTGACTATATTCCACTGCAGCTGGAAGTATCCTTCGAACTGAGAGACAGTGATATTCGTAGATTGATTCGAAGAAAGCAGATAAGGGAAAAGGAAACATAAACTCGAAGTTGGGTGTATTGACACATCTGAAGAAAAACGCTTCAGGATGCATGGGGGGTAAAATGCGATTAACTGGACTTCGGTGAAAGCGGATTTGAAAAGAGAGCGATCCGAGGTTACCTGAATGGCCATCCTAGTCACGCTGCAACCGAGCACCCGTGGATGTCCAGCTTCGTGAAGAATAGAAAGGAAAAGCTTATTGAAACAAGACAATAGCGTGCAAAAAGGATCTTCACAATGAACGTTGTAGCCACGTTAAGCTACACACCGGATTTCGAACGAGTAGAGCTGCATCGACCGCATCCTGACACTCCTTCAGGTGCAACGTCATATGTACGGATGATCTACAGTCCTAGTGTCGATCGCTCAGTGCTGTTGACCACACAACAAGGTATGTTTGTGAACACGATCCGGCCCTTATATCCACACATATATTGTCGGAAAGCTAGTTAAGAGCTCATACTAGCTTTTTGACAAAGTGTTTTTGTTCAACTTTGCTAACGAAGAAAAACTGGAAGGTGTTCGGACCGTTGCCGTTGAGAACCTTATTGATTTGGGGTATGTAGATGATATCGTCCTGATCTCTGGAAGAAGGTACACCACAAGCCCTGCTGAATGAATTGACCATACCATATTTCGGCACGCACCCCACGACTTCAAAAGGCAGTCATGTTCCAGAAAGTGTACTCTCTGAACATACCCGTTGCAATTCAAGGACAATCACTGAAAGTTGTGGAGATCTGTACATGCCTCCGTAGTTGTACTAGCTTTGACGGAAGTGTCTCGGTGAAGTCAGTGCGCGAAACTCAAAGGACCGAATCACCTTTGCTAACCTGCATATCACTGGTGCTCCAGTACCAAACTACAGTAAGGGATGTGTTGCCGTATGGTTGCGAGATGGGCTCTGCGGACAGACGGGGTGAGGCGTCTTCAGGTTTCTGACCACTGATGCCTGAGAAGTGTTGATGTCAGATGGCTTCAACGAATTCGCAACTAGCTAATTAGAAAACCGGTATTTGGTTGTGCAGCAAGTCTTCAATCGCAGAGACCATCCAGCGAAATCAGTCTCGACTGTATTCCACGCACGCCTGGACATCGCCTACCGAGGCTAGTAATGTACTCCTTGCCTCCTTCAGAAGGACGCAAATTGCGAGGTGGACGTGACCTGACATAAGGGATTGAAGGCAATGATGAAGAGGTTGGGCGCTTTCAAGAATGGGATCCCCATTATCTTAATTTTGCTTGGCTTGAGACACTGCAGGAAATGGCGGTTGAAAGATGTCAGTAATACTCATGCAGTAAGTTTCCTTCCAGATTGTTTGGTTGAACACCTGGGGGTGCAGACACCCCAGAACGCTTGCGGTAGGCCAGCACCAGGTCCCTTCCCTTACCCACCCTTATCGTTTCATTTTCGGTGTTTCGCACGGTGGGCAATCCACTCCTGAAATGTGGAAGTTCAGATGGACCGACACTGTTTTACGGGGCATTAAAAATGACGCACATGACTGGGGTTATCCACAAAGGGAACTGCAGTCGCGAGCGTATGAATCCCACCCAACATAATCCTCTAACCAGTGTATCTTCCTAAGATCTCTGCCTAAAGAAGCTCCGGAAACACTCTGCATCTAAACAGATGTTGCGAGTACACACGCAACCAAGAAATTTTAACAAAACATCTACAGAAATGGTGTGTGTGAAACAGGTTCGATGTTTTAGATGTCCACATTTTTAGTTCCAGTCCAATTTGTCTGAGTGGTGCAGATACATATATATAGAACAGGCTCACCACACCACCCCATCTTCTTTTGCTGTCTTCAATTCCAAGGTGGTGAAGTATGATGACGATGATGACCTGATAACCTCTAAATGATTAATGTCACAAGGAATCCTTATACAATATCCCGGCACGCTTGAAGGCGCTCCTTGGCTGGGGTTTTGCTTAGGATAAATGTACGGCATCGTTTATTGGCATTTAGTATCTTACAATAGGCAAGTTTTTGGAATTTATCTGGGGGACAGATTATGCGCCCATAGGTGACCTATTTTACCTGAACAGGAATTCATTACAGGGGCTCGTCACGCCGCCTTAGATACGAAGCGTCCATCTCAAACCAAAAAGAATCACCACTTGCACACTCATGATCATTTAGAGATACCAGATAAAAACATCTTCCGGAGTGAAAACAGACGCCAATTCAAAGGATGAATATTTCGCTACCCTTCAGTGTTCCCTCCATCACGTTTGGGACGGAAATTTGATCATATTGTGTCAAAAATGTTTTTAAAAAATCATTTGGTCAGCAGTAGAAAGTTAAGAAACCGGTTCATGTCGAGCATTTTTTCTCTACCCGATGCTAGCCGCCGAATCGTATATCCAAATGTACAGATGTGAAAATAATGATACTGGTTAGTTGTGGCTCTGTGAAATGGTGTACGGTACACAAATGCCAACCAAAACGCCGAGTGCTATCCTGTGCACAGACACACGGATAATCTTGACTAAGGGCTAGGCATACGAGTCACCAGAAAGGTTACCTAAGCTGGGTGGGGAAAACGGGAATATGCTTGATTCGGTCTCATCAACATCAAAGTCATACCTAATCATTCTTCAAACAAGACTTGTTGCAAACACAAACCGAAGTGAGGCCAAACTGGTGACAATTCGTCAGCTGATAACTTCTCACAGCTGTCACGTACCGGACAGGTAAGGAGCAAAGAAGGGGACGATAAAAAGACTTATCACGGAAAGATTTGTACAAGAGTGAATAACTAAGGGCAAAAATGTAGCGAGCTCATGGGCTACGGTCTCACCAGAAATTCAGCTGCTCTTGAAATGTATACAAGTGCGCAGAATTCAATGACATCCACCAAATTTTGCCGCGCGTATCGTGATTCACCGATGACAGGATTCAGTCACCAAATCAACATACGGTATTCACAGGAGAAACCCAGAAAGGTTGAGCTGAGATATGGCCCTAGAACGGTACAAGGTTCTTCCCCATTTCGATCGTGACAGCTTCACACGAAACTACAGCCAAAAGGTCATCGGGCTCAATCACAACAACCCAGCTGTATTTGAAAAAGCCGCGCGAGCAGGTGTCTATATTATTCCGAGCACCGAGTATGCCAAAAATCGGCATTAAACAAGGACAACAATAGTTATGACAAATGTTTCGCACGACAAACGAAGTAGCAAAACGATTTGTTGTGATACAAAAAAATCTCGAGACCAAAGAAGACATAAACCGGAAGATGTGTGAGTTCACACAAGTCAGCTACTGAGTAAAGCTGAAATGAGAGGGGAAGAGAGAGAGAGGAAAAACAACCACAGTCCGAATTTACTAGTTAAATACTATTATCGATCAAACGAAATAATAATAAAAATGCAAATTCGTGGACAACGATTGCGAAGTTGGAGAAAAAAGTGCAAAAATCGGTCCGACTCATATTGAAAGAATTCGAGTTGGTACGCCCAGCCCACAATCTCCATGAACACCAAGGGGAATGATCAAACTGGGTTGGATATGTGGAGAGTATTGTTCACAGCCAATCGGGTGACGGAAGCCGAGGTAATAAATTCGGAGCAATCGAGGTCGCCCACTCAAAATTCGGATACATCGATAATACTGATATCCGCTTGTTCCTCGCGGGTCTTACACTCCTCCTGAAAGAAAACGACGAAAAGAGGGGGTTTGGTTTGTGGATGTAATAACACAATGTTACAGCTCCTATTTGAAAGAACGATCAACCCATAACCCGGGAAAAAGCATACAAACATGTGTTCACGTGCAAGTGAGTGAGCGAGTGCAGACGTACAGACGTAGTAGACAACCAGCGTAACAACACAAAATGGAAAACAGACAGACAAAACTACAAATACGCATGCGCATGAATCAGAACCTTGGTCTTCAAAAAATCCCTGTGGTGTTTCCTCCTTTGGTAGAAAAAAACGGATAAGGAAAGAGAGAACAAAGTTGAGTAGGTTTGGTGAAAAAACGCTATGCAACCTCAAATAATATAGAAAACTGCACTTAGGGTGGAAAGTCACGTGATGGCTGGTGAGCACATCATGCACATCGTGCTCAGCTAGGAATCAGTGCGCACCCTGAACGACGTTACCGCTACGCACCGGAGATAATAGATATTGCGAAAACGAATCCACGGTGTGCAGCCAAAACTTTGGCCCCTGTCTCTGCGCTGATAAGTGCCAAAGAATAATTGCGAAAACGAATCCACGGTGTGCAGCCCTGTCTCTGCGCTGATAAGTGTCAAAGAATCCTTGCGCTTCATCATCGACAGTCACCGAGCACAGTCGCACAAAGTCGCAACAGCCCAGCAGATTCTTCCACGAAAGAACACTAATATGCAATGGCCCTTTTCTTGGATCCGTAGTCATCATAGTGCCCTCTGAATGAGATACGGATGCCTGTTAGTTTTCACCCGTCCTAAAGTTGCCACCTTGACGTGGTGGTCGGGCTTCAGTGTTGCAATGATCCCGTGGGCTACACTGGCTGGAACTCCGTTCCACAAGGTGCAACCATGCCAGAAAGGCCAAAGGGGAGCAGCCAGACCAAGAGCAACGAGACCCCGTACTACGAGTAATCGTGCTACGAGGCGGTCTGGGGTTAAATTCGTACTGTCCTCTGCGACAGGAGTGTGAAGGCAGTAAGGTGTTTCCCCCAGGCGACCAGCATGTCCATATTTATGGAAGCAGC